GCAATTCTTTGTCAGTCAATTCATTCAAAGTTTTGGCTGAAGAAAAACAAAACCTGATTTCAGCAGCGATTTTTGATTCCAACTTTGTCTTGTGTTTACCTTGCAACAAAATATCACGTACAATAATTATTGTGATTTCTTCATCAGTAAGATTTTCGGTGGCAACGTTTCTCTCACAGTCTGTGCTTATCCCAGTGTCGCCAACCTGCAAGTCTTCAGCTTCATCCTTTTGTGTATCTGTATCTTGAATCTCTGTAACATCATTTGGGTAGTCTTGAAGAAAAGAAGAAGCCTCTTGTGCAACTTCCGACTCTAAAGTATTCAATGCACTGCATTGCCATCGTCTTCGGTGGCTGAGTTTTGATTCTTTTTTATCACGAATGTTCTTCCAGCCTTTTGATGATGTTTTTAAGGGTCTAAGTAAATTGTTCTGAAAACCAACAACAAATGACACTGTACCTTTTCCATTTCGTTCTGGAAATATCTTCTGTACATTTTTTAAGGTCCCAACATTTTCTAACTGTTGTATGAGTTCAGTTTTTTTTTTTTCGAATCGCAGGTCTTTTTCCATACATTTTCCTGCAGTTGTAAAAGTGTTAGTGGACTACCTTCGGAGGAAGTTTCCATCAGTTGTGCCCATTATCCATCGAATGTTTCGCAAGGAATATAAAGTCCTTCATTGTAATAGACTTGGTGAAAATGATCGGCTACTTTCCGCATGACATCAATAGATAAATTTTAGCCTCTAAATACATACCCAATCGGCATGCCATGAGCTATCTCAGAATCCCATAACCGATCAGTGTCAGACATTGTGAATGCAAGAACCTCCGATGCTTTAGGCATTACAAGATTGTATACACTCTCTGTGATTCTTCTCGTTCTGTCTAGTTCTTCAAGCATGCTTGCTATCGATAAAACCGACTGAAGAATCTTGGGTCTTTTCAATAAAGTAATGAGGTGACTGTCTCATTAACTGGTAAGTTGGATTTTCTAATTTCCCTTTAAGAGATCGAAATTCATCAATAAATACTGCGTTGTCGCAAAATTTTTCAAGGTCAGATTTTAATTCCTTGATGTGTTTTTGGATTGATGTAGGTTTTTTTTTGGTACAATACAATAATAAATGGATTCTACCTCCTGGATAACCCTCTGAAGCAACTTGCGGTCATGGTGTACTAAAAATACCGTTGCGCTTTCCTCTGTCCGTGAGACATAAAATGCCTTGTTTGTATTTAATGCTTCCACCTCAGCCATTATCTGACATGTGTATCTGAGTGGTAAACGATAGTGCACTGTTGATGTGTACTTTTGCATCCCAAAAGGACACTTAATTTCTACACAACATATTATCCCTTCATTATTTCGTAGCGATCCATCGGGCGAAACCCCAATCAGTTTTTTTCCATTTCTTAATATGAAATATGCACCCTCTTCGAAAAATACTTGAGTCTGGAAAGTACATAGGCATAACTACAGACAGAATAGTCGCAATTCCGTGTTTTTCAGACTGTGCTCCATGAGGAATGACTGACTGTTGCAACTGCAAAAACGGTAAAGGTTCACAATTCGAAACATGAACATCGAAATAAAGTTTTTGCAGTTTTAACGAGTCTAACCCAATTGCCTGACGTGGAAAAATGCTACTACCAGTAACTTTTACTTCCTTTATCAAACAGTACCATGCGTCAGTTCTCTGCTGTACAAACTGGGGTGGCAATTCGTCATCATGAGACAAACCAAGATGTTCCAGAGCGACTTAAAAGTGGCGCAAAAATAGAAAACTTTATCAACTAAACTTCATTTTCATCCTTCCAGTTGAATTCTGTTCCATTGATAATAGAGAGATTTTTCCCCCAAATTTGACACAGTTAACAAAACTGATCATGACTGAATTAAGTCATTGACTTGATATAATCTTGTTTGAATTCTATCACAAAAGCTTCTTTTGACTCTCTCCATTTTTCGCTTTAACATACCTAAGTTTTTTCACCGTAGTTCCTAAAACTTCTATCAAACTTTTCATATCCAGTTGAAGTTAATAAAACATTCCCCAATCAAGGGACAACACTCTGTGAAACAAATTCCAAATTTTCAACACGAGTTTTAACAGTATCAATCTTGTTTAAATCTTTTAATTTCTTAGATAGCAGAGTGGACTTTGGTTCATCTTCAAAATCTAAAATATCGATAAACTCAGAATTTGGAACAATCTTTTTGCCATCAAACGTGATAACATGAGACACATTACCTTTTCTGCCAGCTATTAATTTCACGATACCTTTATTGATTCCGGGTTTCGTTTCTTTCTCAATCATAACATCTTGTGGAGTGAACTCATTTAAACAATTCCTACTAGGTACCACAAAATTAAATTTTGCCACCGCTGGATCGAATTCTGTTTTCGAATCCTGTCCCACATGCTTCGGTCCACCCATGAAACGCAAAACGCGCCTACCAAACAAGAGTTGTCCTGTCCATCAAAACGATTTGCAAACATCTGAGTAGCGCATCTCTTATGACTCATCACAGAATTCAAAACATGGAAAAGGTGTAGCACTTTGCTTTTTGTAGTAAGAGTGCCATTTAAAATACTTGATGTAAATTTTTGTAAAAATAATGACAGCCCTGCTTTGTCTAATATTTCTTGGACTTGTTGCAATTCTAAATTTGACAAGTCTGCGGTGTTGGAATTAGTAACGGATGAATCATATAATTTTTTTCCTTGCTTTGCTGTGTGGAAAACTGTTTAAATTCTTCAGTATATTTCCTTTTTAGGTCACCTGAGTAAAGTTATTGCTATCCGTTTCCGTCCGTCGACGTTCGTCGTCTGTTAACATTTTAACATTTTCAGCTTCTTCTCTGAAACCGCTGAAATAATTTCAACTAATTTTGATTTATAGCATCTATGGATGAAGGGGAACAAAAATTGTAAATTTCAATTTCATGATCCCTGCCCCCTGGGGGGGGGGGACCACTAAAATTAGTGCAATCTTTAAAAATCTTCTTTACTCCTGACAATCAAGCAGTCAAACTGTTGGTTTGATTGTAATCAGCATTGAGTCCTCTATTAAAATTGTGAAATTCATGGCCCCAGGGTTGGGGTTCTAGTGCTAGGGCGGGGCTCCATTGATTATAATGTGAAAAACGCATTATTTCTTTGAAAATCTTCTCTGCTTCTGGGTTTTAAGTAAGCTAACTAAGTACATATTTATGATGAGCAAGAGAGCCTCTACCAAAATTGTGAATTTTATAGTCCAGGGTCAGGGGCTCTGGTGTTAGGGCGGGGCTCTATTGATTATATTGTGAAAAATGCATTATTTAAAAAAAAATCTTTTCTGCTCCTGCGTATCAAATAAACTAAGTACATAATTATGATGAACAAGAGTGCCTCTACCAAAATTGTGAATTCTAAGGTCCCAGGGTCAGGGGTTCTGGTGTTAGGGCGGGGCTCTATTGATTATATAGTGAAAATGCATTACATCTATGAAAATCTTTTTCTCTGCTCCTGGGTAATAAGCAGATGAACTACCTATTTAGTTATATGTGCAAGGACTCTTCTTTCAGAATTGTGAATTTCAAGGGAAGGGGGGGGGGGGCTCTACTTATACACTGAAAATGAATTGTTTGAAATCTGCTCCTTGATATTAATCAAACATTATTGATTAGCAATGTTCCCTTACCCTGCCTATAGGTATTAAGTAAACAAAATAATCAACTACTAAGTGTATAGTTATGATTAGTAATGGTGCCTCTTTCAAAATTGTGAATGCCATAGCATCTAGCTTAAAACATGAACGAAGTTCAATCATTTGAAAGTTGTTTTATGATGCTCAGGTGACCTATAAGGCCCATGGGCCTCTTGTTTAAATAATGTTTTGGTCGAAAAAAAACAATCGGTGAAAGAAGCAGGTTTTGAGACCAGAAATTTCTTTTCGCTAGACTAAACCGCCGTATAGCTGGGGACAGGCATACCCTTTTTGTCTTGGGTGATTTTGAAAAACAGGTTTTAAAAATACAAGCACTGGGCCTTTTCCGATTTTCTGATATTTGAAATGTCAATTTCGTTTTCTTCTTCATCTTTTATCTAAGGAATGAAAAGAGGAACATTCAATTCAAATTTGTTAAAAAATGATAGCATTACTTTTTTTCAATCAGCGCAGTAACCGGATGTGTGATTACGTTGAATTCGCAGTAATCATTTAGTACATTTTACAATTAATATAAAAAAAACGAATTTCCCAAATATTGAGAAGACAGGATCAAAAATTTTAAATATTTTTTTTCAATATAGAATAATTTTTGCATCCAAGAGAAATTTGCAGGCAACATGGATGAAAGATTATCACTGGTTGCGTTATTCTGAGAGCACCGATTCTCTCTTTTGTGGAAGGAAATATATCATTCAGTTTTTTATCTCCTGTAACAAACTGGTCTAACTTATCCCAATTAATTAAGCGACACCTTCTTGAAACGTCAAAACACCACGATTATACTGGAATGGGGGATGATTTCATGAAAATTGTCGAGTCTGAATCACCATCGATAGCATCCTCTGTGTCCTCAGTACACCGAGAAAACTTAGCTAAAAACAGACACATTTTGTCTAAAATAATTGAAGTGATTATTCTTTCTGGTCGTCAGAACATACCGATGCATGGCCATACAGAGGATCGAAGCAATTTTATTGCAATTCTAGAAAGTCTTGCCAAAAATGACCCTATTCTTTCTGACCATCTTGCATTCTCGACAGGGGTAAAATACACTTCTCCCGATGTACAAAATGAAATAATCAAAATCTGTGCCGACCAAATACTGAAAAAGCTAAAACGCTGCTATCAAAAAGCTCCTTTCTTTGCTATTCTTGCTGATGAGACACAAGATAGATCCACAAAAGTTCAGTTTTCAGTTTGTATTCGCTATGTCCATGCCGAAAATAATGCTGAAATAAAAGAAATATTTCTGGGCTTTTTGCATGCAAAACACACACAAGTGCCTACATGGCTGAAATTCTCCTCGAAATTCATGGTCTACCATTAGAAAAACTTCGTGCTCAGGGCTATGATGGGGCATGCAACATGTCCGGAAAACACAATGGCGTTCAGGAAATTGTAAGACGCTCGGCCCCTGATGCTCTGTATGTCCACTATAAAGCTCATTGTCTGAATCTAGCCGTTGTGCACTCCTGCAAAGAGCCCATCATACGAACTATGATGCCTGTTGTGCAGGAGTGTGCATTTGCGTTTCACTACTCGGCAAAACGCCTTGAAGCATTTTCAGACGAGTTGAAGGATGACCAAGACGTCAAAGAGGCGATGGACAGGAAAACTAAATTGAAGTCTCTGTGTGAGACCAGGTGGATAAGCCGGCCTGATGCTCTAAGTACTTTCAAAACAGCGTTTCTTGTTGTTGTCCATACTCTGGAGCATCTCGTCACACAACACGACGACAAAGCAGCTATCTATCTGTCCTCCATTCTCCGATTTGATTTTATTGTAGGTCTGGTTGCTTGTGAGCACATCTTATGCCTGGTTGTTCATTTATCACTCTTTTTACAGGATCCAAAATGCGATATGCTTTCCGCTATCGAAGAGTGTCGTGTTGTTCTGACACAGCTTAATGATGCTAGAAATAATCAGCAGGTGTGGGACGCCCTTTTTGAAGAAGCAGTGTCTTTAGCTGATCAGTTTGATGTAGAGCCCACGTAGAGTTGGTCGACAACAGAACAGAGCCAATATTCCTGCTGCTACACCCTCGGAGTATTGGAGAATGGCCCTGATCTACGTTTTCATTGATCATCTCTTGCAGAAGCTAGAGGACAGGCTTTTAGGGGCTGAGCAACGGTTTCAAGCATTTTTCTTCTCCCCTCAAGAATCCAGGGTCTTACCAACTAAAAAGTGATATCCATTTTCGATACATTCAAAACCGACATTGTTGGGAATGTGGAGACATTTCGAGCTGAAGTTGAGCGCTGGAAGGTGAAATCGCAGATGCATGGAGTTGTTCCAAGCTCAGTTGTCGACGTTCTTAATAAAACGAATTCCACTCTCTATCCATCGATATCTGCCATTCTCATGGTCATTTTAACCATGCCTGTTGTAACTGCAACTGTAGAGCGATCGTTCAGCGTTCTAAAGCGCGTGAAGACATATTTTCGTTCAACTATAAACCAGGAACGGTTATCGTCTCTCGCCTTACTTCACATCCACCGAGATGTACCCATTTAGATAGATGCAGTTTTGAACGAATTTGCGGCGGCAAATATTCGTACATTTGTAAATGGAAATTCTTTTAGTTATGCACATGAACATATCATCTACTTTTGATGCCTTCTAAAAGAAGAATTTAGATAAACTGTATACTTCTCCGAGTCACCCTTCTGCTTTTTCTTGTAGTAAATAACTCTGTATACATAATGAAATACCAGTATTAGTAAACCATTTTACGATATAACTTTCTTAATGTCACAAAAATATTTTCCACTCCTTTAAACTAGTAAACCAGTTAATTATACATGTATAAAATTCATACATAATAAGACTTCAAGTTGAGACTGGGACATTTCAATAAATTTTAATCATTTCAGCGTTCATGAATTTTGTGTTTCTTGTAACGTTTTTGAATCCAAAGAAAAAAATGAGAATAAAACATGTTTTTTGTAACTTTTATGTTGTTCAAGAACCATAATTAAAATACAATCAGCTAAAAATTCAATATTAATAAATGTATAGTTTCCTTTTACCTAATAGTTCTTTTTAGGTATGCAGTGGGTCTCAAATTAACCTATACAAATATAACTTTCCTCTGGCAGTATTTGATCTTACACAAATACTTGATTTCAATATCATTTGCCATGACTTTTGTTAGAATTTACCTTCTCTATTCGTTTGCTTCGTTCAGACTCCTTCCTTCGGAATATTTTTAATATATGGAAATGGGCTATACCATCCAAGCAGGGGTTAACAGCCTCCTGGACTATACCATTACTCCGTCACGGGTTTGGAAGGTATAGCCCTTAATTTTTTCAATATTTTACAGTATATCTATATGATAGTATAGTTGGAATTTTATCCGGTGTCTACATAATGCTCGATAATTCCGCAATTTGTGTTCATATGTATTGAAATAACTGTACAAAAAAGGCAATATTCAAGGTAGTTTTTGTCAGTCAAATCTCCTAAAATCCAGGAGCCTCTGCTCGCCAAGTGGAAAAGTCGAATTCAACCTTGAAATGGTACTTGCTAAGTATTCCCAAAAAGGGTTGTAACGTGTTTATCTGAACAATAGGGTTCTTTATAAGGGATATATGATTTTCCTTGTACTCTATCTGAGTAAAAATGATTAGGAGATATGATAATTTTCCTTTACTCTTCCTGAGTATAATGATTCTGTATATAATTCAAAAATTATTAAACTATCAGAGGCTTTACCGAGGGCCATATAATTATTTAAATGTGACTGGGTAACTTCATCGCGTATTCTTGGTAAAACGGTTCCTATTAATATAGAGAATCAGGCGCCTCGATCTTATTAGACCTACTA